CAGTACTGTAAATTTCAGTTTTGTTACAGCCTTTATTTTTTCGCTTGCTTCTCCCTGAGCCTTAAAGAAGTTGATATGGAGGAAAACAAGCATTGTGCTGGGTCTGTGTTGCACATGCACCGGTATCGGGGTATCTTATGCTCTTTCTCTCATTCTACTTGACAGTTAAAATATGTGATGTCCTTAAGTAGTTTGTTAACCCTAAAAACGCCTTAAAAATATACAGTAGTATTTCACAGCTCTTTTGAGTAGGGAAATAATACAGCCTCTCAGTTTTTCTAAGGGAAAATAAGGAGACAAACTGAAATAAATATTAGGTGCTACAGAGAAGTGCTCCAAATCAGGGTAATTAAAACCTTAGACCCTCACTGGAGTAGTGCTTTGTAATTTCTTTTTATTTCTGATATTAGGAGATAATCATTCCTCAAATTTCTTCTCAAACATATTTCAAGTCTTCAGCTAGGACTTCTGGATGGGCCCATGTTTCGTCTGGTGCTCCAGGGTAGGTAGAGATTTTTTCCCCCAATACATGAGTTACATTCTGCAATATCTACTGGCTGCATCCAAGATTAGTAGCAATGAGCTTCAGTGCTCTGTTCCTTGGCCATAGGATGCAGTGGATGGTAAAAGTTCACGTGTTCAAGGGGAAGTCCGGACAAATTAACAGAAGAGAGGTCTACTGAGGGTTATTCGAATACTCAAGAGCTACTACTGTGTCAGGAAGTCCTTGAGCCAAAAACGTCTGTAGCCTGGGAGACTAGAGAGAAGTCTGATACATAAGGGTCCTGTGCCTATGCTCTTCTTTGAGTGTCCAATTTTTGGCCCCTGTCAGCAGCCAGGGTACTGTGAGCTACGGGCCGTTGTTCTGACCTGGTGCAGATGTTCAAAAGTGCCTAGCAGCAGTCCTGCTCCAGGAGTGTCGCGTAGCTGGATGTAAACTTTGCTCCCCCACTATGAAAGGATAAAATATTTACCTATCTTCCAGGGGCTTTCTGCAGATTACCTCAGTGTCTGTACAATGCTACGTGAATGCCAAGTATTACAACAACCTCCCGCTCCGAAGACTCCTAATGGATTATGAACTCATGTATAAAATGCTTTGTAGACATGTTGAATCCAATTCCCAGAACCCTGCTACAATTTATGCCTCTTTTTACCCTTTCTAATGCTTCCAGAGGGTTGCAAAGGGAATCTCAGAACATGTGGAAAGCAAGGTCAGTGGGTATTTGGACATGATTATACCATGTTTGTAAAGCCAAACACAATGGGGTATGTCTACGCTGCGGCTATATCCAACTCGGTGATGGCTTGGGTAATAGCCATATTCTATGAATGACAAGCAGAGCTCATCAGATGCTGCAAAATCAATTCAAAAGGAGGATTCTAGGTCCAATTTTGTTCAACGTATTCATCGATGACCTGGAGGAAGGCACAGAGTGCACCCTCAGCAAGTTTACTGATGATACAAAACTGGGGGGAGTGGCTGACACACCAGAAGGCTGTGCTGCCATTCAGAGGGACCTGGAGAGGCTGGAGAGGTGGGCAGAGAGGAACCTCATGAGGTTCAACCAAGGCAAGTGCAGGGTCCTGCACCTAGGCAGGAATAACCCCACGGACCACTGCATGCTGGGGGCTGACCTGCTGAAGACAAGCTTTGCAGAGAAGGACCTGGGAGTCCTGGTGGATAACAAGTAAAGCATGAGCCAGCAACGTGGCCTTGTGGCCAAGAAGGCCAATGGTATCCTGGGGTGCATTAGGCAGAGTGTTGCCAGCAGGTGGAGGGAGGTGATCCTGCCCCTCTCCTCAGCCCTGGGGAGGCCACCTCTGGAGTTCTGTGTCCAGTTCTGGGCTCCCCAGTACAAGAGAGACACAGAGCTACTGGACTGAGTCCAGCAAAGGGCCACTAAGATGATGAAGAGACTGGAGCACCTCGTGTACGGTGCAAGCTGGTCCTGTTCGGCCTGGAGAAGAGAAGACGGAAGAGGGATCTGATCAAGGTGTATAAATGTCTGAAGGGAGGGTGTCAAGAGGATAGGGCCAGACTCTTTTCAGTGGAGCCCAGTGATACAACAAGAGGCAAGGGGCACCAACTGAAACACAGGAAGCTCTATCTCAACATGAAGAAAAACTTCTTTCCTGTGAGGGTGACAGAGCACTGGCACAGGTTGCCCAGAGAGGTTGTGGAGCCTCCTTTGCTGGAGATAATCAAAAGCTGTCTGGACATAGTCCTGGGCAATGTGCTCTAGGTGTAGCACATTGGACTAGATGCTCTCCAGAGGTCCCTTCCAACCTCAACCATTGTGTGATTCTGTGATTAATGCTCAGCTAAATTTACAGGCTGCAGTGATACCCCAGCTACTCTGTCTGCCACTATGTTACCTAGTTTAAAACCTACTTGACTGTATCTAGAGTATACTATCAGTGTTTGAATGCTGTATAACTATGCTCCTTGGGCTTTTCTGTACAAGGAAATTACTTGAGCGCAAGTGATTATGGGGATTTACCCAAGCCACTTGTGCACAGTAAGCATGAAGTAGATTGAGAGGTTAACTGAGAGTAAAGAATCTCATGCTTTTTGCAGATAGTTGTTCAGTAAGAACATAATGTAGAGAAGTTTACATAGATGTTATGGAGTGCCTGTGCATCGTGAAAAAGCCCCTTGACGAAACATCAGGTAAGCGAGAGAGACAGGACTGCACTTGGAAACTTCTTTTTCTCAGTCCTGCACGTGTATTACCCAAGACCTTGACTATCACAGGAACCTTTGAGGAAAGCATGACTTAGATTATCGTGACTCCGAAATCTGTGCAGAAATACCCAAGCTTGCTTCAAAGCAATTAAAGGGGACGTTAGTGACAGTCTAACATCAGCATTGAGCTCTATGGCCACTACAAAGCTACAGGAGAATGATGGCAGATATGTTGGTAGCTAGCTGTTTGGCACGGTAACCTGACTGGGTAGAGCTTTCGGCCACGGGGTAGCAAGGCTAACCTAAGTCAACTTAAAACGTAAAGGGGGATCTCCAAGTCTGCAGTGCAAACACACCTCTGTGAATGCCATGCACTGTGCTTGATGGGCAAGTATCCGGTGCAGGCTTGCTTCAAGCTCTCTGTCCTTCACTGTACTCAATATCACAGGACCTTAGTGAAACGTAGGAAAAAAAGAAAAATAAATAAAGAAAGAAGGAAACTCGCTGTCACTTTTGGGCAGACTTTTTTCTCCCATCTCTGACCCACAAAGTCTTGCTTGGTTTACGTATCAATTGCTTGTGATTTGTGGTTTAGGCCGCCGGTCCCAGGGCCGGAAGAGCCAAAGCGAGAGCTGGCATGCGGTGTAATTCGGCGGTACTC